AGTATATACAAAACAAACAAAGCATATCCTCATGTAATGAATTTGACACAAATCTCAGACATACCACTTCATCCTTCTTCACTTATTGACACAAACCTCAGACATCATATCATTTCTTTCATAAATATTTTAATATGTATCTCAAGGATTTTTTAAAGGAAAAAATACCATTATTATATTAAAAAACAATTAAAAAAAATTTTTTTTAGCTGAGCCATCCTGCCACCTATTGGCAGCTCAGCTTGGGCTGATAATTAAACCGCTGTTGCTCAGAGTTTGCACTCTTGAGTGAGCTCTTAACCAACTGAGCCACTCGGCTGGCCCAAAAAACAATTTTTAACATTGAAAAATATCTACCCAAGTGTTCAAATTTCTAATTCTGTCAGCTTGTTTGAATCGGGAACCATATAAGGTGCTTACTTTACAATTCTTCTCATAGCTGGGTTCCTCCTGCCTTTGTCTCTCTGTCCTGTTTCCCCTCTCAATTTATTAGTTAAAGAAAGTGGGTAGTAGAGTTTTCCACAATGTAAATTTTGTTTATTTCATCCCAGTAGATTGTTAACATGTCTCTGCTCTCTGTGTTTTCTCTATTTATTGGCTATTGGATCGTGGGGCTCATGGGTATTTTAGTGAGATGTTGGGAAGGGTTGCTTCAGAGGCTGGAAGCAAGTCCAATCTCGCACCCCAGATGGAAATCTTTATGACACCCTTGTGTAAGTGTTACCCAGACTTTGCCAGAACTCCCATGGAGATGGGGGAATTCCCTTCTTTACACAAAAGCCACTTTAGTTAACAGATTGCTACAAGTTCAAGCTCTCGAGTCAACTGAGTTATTTTTCCATTACTGAAGTACTATTTTGCAGATGAGGAAATGGAGGCGTGAGGATGTTAAACAAGTTGCCAGGTTCACACAACTAGTCAGTGGAGGAGCTGGGATTTGAACTTAGTTAGATTCTGTAGTCTATTTCGTATGCTTTTCTGCCTCCTTGTCAGATGTCTCCCCCATTCCTACTCTGGCTCCTGACGCTCATTCAACTTCAGCATAACATTTGATTTTTACCAATTAACTTTGATCCTGTTCAATTCCATTGAGGTATGTTGAAATACTGAGCCTACCGTTGTGTATTATTGTTGGAACATCATTGAGCGTACTTACTTTTATTAATTTATTGCTCCACCTGTATCTTGTCCATAAGAATATTGTGAAAACTTAACTGTCTTAGAATGTCAGCTCCATTAAAGACAGGATCTTCTTGTACCTGAAACAGTGCTGGGTACACATAAGTAGCTCGGTAAATATGTGCTAAATGAATGGATGGATGAAAAAGGTACTCAGAGCTCTAATTACATCAATCTAATAGTCTGGTTGTTCTTTCCAACAGCAGGTTTGTTTGTTTGTTTGTTTGTTTGTTTGTTTTTTAAATCATTTTAAAATTCAAACAATTCCTTATAAAGTCATTCATTCATAAAGAGGATGTTGAACGAACATAAGATTGTGAAGGTGAGAGTCTGAATTATGATTGTAGTCTTATCAGCCTTAGCTCTTTTCTTCAGTATTTTGTTTGGTTTACAATAGCTAGATAATGTTAATTCACACAGAGATGTACTTGCAAACATTAACTGTTTTTTTTTAAGGTTTATATTTTTTAATAAAAATCTTTAAAAAAATTAAATATATATATTTGAAGATTATACATTAAACAAAGTTTATTTTGCAATCTCAGGATATTCTTTTTTAAAAGATTTTGGGGAATTGGGGAAGTGGAACAGACAGGTTGCTGTCCTTTTGTTCTTCAGTCTAGTTGTGGAGGACGTCGCTTCACTGGCCCATGTTGGCATTATCATTGTGCTCTTCCCGGGTGAGGCAGATCGGTCGCCATCCATTGGATGGCGGCTCACCATGGCTCATGGCAGCTCCTATCAGCTGCCAGCCACTCACGGTAGCTGATGGCCGCCCACTGCAGCAGAGGCTGCAGCCTGTGCCGACAGGGATGACTCACGGCAGCCCAGTTCCATGTCGAGCTGTCGTTCACCATCTTAGCTGTAGAGGGCGCAGCGTCACTGACCCTCCTCATGTGGGATCCGAACCGGGGTCCTGCTCCTCAGAGCTGGTGTCCCAAGCCAACTCCTAACCAACGTGCCAACCGGCCGGCCCCAGGATATTCTTTCAATAAATTAAATCCAAAGCTTGAAAGTAGGAATTTTTTTTTTTTTAAAGATTTTTATTGGGTAATTGGGGGGATGGGAACAGTGCTGGGGAATTGGGGGAAGGGGAACAGACAAGTTGCTGTCGTTTTGTTCTT